TGTCTCATTTTGTACAGGATGGTGTACTCTATCATTCTATGTAGTGTAAACAAAATTATATGTTCGCTTTCTGAGTGTTAGAAACGAGGGTTCTAACTTTCTGAAGTATCTGTGTGTACACACGAATCTGATGATAATTTTTATATCCTTATGTTCTAATTGAAAACAATTTTTCTCTATTCGAATCATGATTTGCATTCTTTTCAATACTTACAGTAGCAAAAAACATAAAAACTAAACCTTCTCGCCTAATCACAGTGTTCACTGTATATAGAGTCTATAATCAAAATTCTTAAGATAATTCTATTTTTCCAGATATTCGATATCTATCAATGCACCTTCTGTTACTAGATGTAAAATCCTAAGTCTAGCATTATCATAATTTTCTATATGTATATATCATAGTGAAACTCGATAATCTTGTAAAATAATATTTATTCATGATTCATTTCTTGATAAATAATATATCTAACTTACACAATAGCATGTGGATCATCAGCAGTTGTTGAATCAGGAATATAAAGATTATCTTTTGATTGATTGACACATTCAGATACTTTTAAAAGAAACGCTCCAGGATCATGTTCATATCTAGAAAAATATAGATGATATTTAATTTGTTCACTCTTTGAGTAATTCTTACAGATGAGCGGCTTCAGAATTTACTGCATTTATAGTTTCAATTTTTTGAAATATACGTCGAATATAACGTAAAACTTGCCAAAGATGATGTCCATTACGTCTATAGAAATAAGAAATCATATAATAAACAATTTATTTTCTTAACTTACTTCCATACAGGAAAATATCGTTTTATATCAAGTTCACCTGTATGTGGATTTATTTGAGGATGATATACTGATGATGTGAAAAGTACTTGCTAAAGAAAGCAAACCATTGTTGTATGAAGAAAAAAAATTCCTAGCAAAAAAGCAGACTGGACTATCGTTATCAGGAAATGTATTTGGTATTATAATTAAAAAACGAAAAACACCACCTTCATAAGGACCTTGAGAAATAAAATGAACACCATTCCATACTAAAAATAAACAATGACTTTTATTCATATATAAGTCAAAAAAACAAAGAACAAGAAAATTTACTTAGATTTGATTTTCCAGATGGAATAACAATAATGCCAGGTATAATTTGTTTTCGAAGAAGATTACTAATAATAATTCAATGAGTTTATTAGCTTTTTTATTTTACACTTTTTATCCTTACTATTCTGCTTGAAGAATATAATCAAGTGCATATTCATTTTTTTCCATTTGATTTTTAGGATCGATTAAAATAATTACATTCTAAAATTACTATGAAAATTTGTTTTTTTTTATATCAAGATAATCAGACAATAATTATTCTGTACAATTATAGTTGATAATTATTCAGATCACGCATACATCTTCTTTTTCATGCACAGTGTTATATCATGTAATGTGTATATGGTGGTGTTAATCGGAAGGGCATTGTTACACGGCAAATTTTTAATATGAAGAGTCTTGAATACTAGAAAGTTTGATCAAGTAGATTTTATGTTATTGAAAAGAAATTCCATTTATGAATCGAATACTTCAATGTGCTGTGAAAAAAAGATAGTCGTACAATGACTAACAAAAGTTTAGAAATCTAGGAAGGAGGAGTGCTTGTTCAGTTTAATCATAGTGCATATATAAACAGAAAAAACAGAACAGAAGAAAGGATTAATCGTCGGAAAAATAGCCACTACATTGAAAGAAACATACAGCGACTAAATCAAATATAGATGGCCGTCGAAAGATGACAGTAGTATTTGAGACAAAGAAAGGATAATTAATAGCTAACATCTGAAGAAATTGTTTTTATTAACCACTTTGGCATGATCTAGTATCAGAGAGGGAATAAGTAGAGGAGATTAATGATCGAAAACAGAAAAGGGGGGAGGGTGTAGGTGTACGTATTGCATGAAAGTAAAACCCACAATAACACCCGAATCAACTCTCGCTAGCGGAATCCCTGGGAGCTCCCGACAGATTTAAGAATTCCCGGAGAATCTCTATCATGATTTCCGAGGGTATTGAGTAAAACATGAAAATATTTTTTATGAAATTCCTGTCAAGGGTTTCAGAAATCAAGTAGATATTAAGAAAATCTTGAGAAAAAATTTGGGGAGTTGGCGAGGTGACAGGGAGAAAGCCTCTGAAAAATTCCGAGAGACTCCTCTAGGAACTCCCTTGGCTGTCTTCAGCAATTCACCCAAAGTTTTTTTTCAATGAGATTGTCTCCATTTCTACTTGATTTTCGAGCGCCTCAACAGGAATCTCGCAACATTTTTTTTTATAATTTGCTTAGTTACCGAGGGAATCATGACAGTGATTTCCTCATGTCTTGGCCCTTCCTCGGCATTCTTCTAGGGAGAATGGACTAGGACACCCATACTGCATCCTAATATCTAAACAGTCGTTCACTACTGTCACTACCATCTTTCAGCAGTCATCTGTTTAATTAGGTCGCGATATGTTTCTTTCAATATAGTGGCTACTTTTTTGTCAATTGATTCTTTCTCCTCTTCTGTTTATATATATATGGGGTTGGCCAGTCTGGCCGGGTACCCCAATTCTTTTTATCATCAAAGTGCTTCTATAATATATCAAATAGAAGTGAGTTTTTTACTAGTTATAGTATTCGTGCAGTGCTAACGATATGCCAAGGACGAACGGTCTATAACATGTTCGAAACTAAAATAATCAAGTGTCTTCAGAAAATCCATTGGTATTTATGAACATCTTTCCTGAAGACACTTGATTATTTTAGTTTCGAACATGTTATAGACCGTTCGTCCTTGGCATATCGTTAGCACTACACGAGTACTATAACTAGTGAAAAAATCACTTCTATTTGACATATTATAGAAGCACTTTGATGATAAAAGGAATTGGGGTACCCGGTCAGACTGACCAATCCCATATGTATTTCTCCTTGTATGCCGTGATACTATGTATGTTCCTCCTCCATATGTTTTACTATATTGTGTGTTCATGTCTCTTTTTTCTTTTTCTTTTTGCTCATGGTAACGATCCTAATCCTCTAGCATAGTGTAGTAGATACATTTTATTACATGAATGATAACTGAAACACCGATGATGTCTTAATAGGCCTCCGGGCATTAATCGTTTTATTGAAGCATAAAATTAAAAAAAATAATCGAATAAGATGTTGATGAATCATTCATTGTTATTTGTTACGCATAAATTATCGTTTATTGTTAATTGATATCTTTGTTGTTGTTAAACTAAAATTAAAAGAATGTTCACTAGTAAATATATTGCTCAAACTTACGTTTGTCCAAATAATCTAAAATTCTTTCTTGTAGATCATGACTCTATAAGAAAAACCACAAGAGTTGGTAATTGAATCATATACTCATTACGCTTACCTTATAGATATGGTCTACTAAATCGTCAAGTGAAACGAAAGATAATACAACCATAGTATTACCACTGATTGTTGCTGATGCTATTGCGTCATTCAACCACTGTTAGAAAAAAGGTCGTTAAAAAAATTTCAAAAAAAAGAAGCTATTTTTACCAGATTCGTTATCTTGCATGTCCTGAATACCCTGGTAATTGTTGCTTTTAAAATATCCAAATCAAAGATAGTTTTATCTTTGGCTGCATTTACAGCCATAACCTTCAAAAAGACCTTAATTCCGTTTGCATTGATTGGATCCTGAAAGAGCAAAAAAAATACAACCTTTTTTTCTTCACCATAGAATCGATACCTCCTCATTTATAGCTATTTTTACTCTTACTTTCTCAAAAATATACACACAAATAAAGAAGAGATAGAGGAAGAAACAGGAAAGCACTTAACATTTGACCGATGCTAGACGATCAATGCAAAATGCTTTAAGATGAAAATACGATAATTTGTGATCGACTCTTGGTCAAGAGTAAATGCATATGTGAAGGATTGGAAAAAAGAAAAAGATGTATGTACTTATCTATTCGTTTTGTATATCTTTATCTATTGTCGTCATTTACTCAGACATACTCAAACTACTGAAAGAGAGGCGAACAAGCATGAATAAAACCGAAGCTAATGAAACTCCGTATTTTATGTTCCATTAGAGTTTAGTAAACTCTTTACAAAAGGATATTTTCTATTAGAGATTATGAAAAAAACATTTTTCGGTCGTTACAGAGGGAAAATCAAGTTTTTAATTATGGAACTTGTGATTGTTGTAACTCGAATATTTTGATACCACTATAAACTTTACGTCGTGTTGTTTACATTCATACATAACTTACTAAAAAAATTCGAAACCTAAATACGAAATATTTTCCAATCGAATATTTTTACACAACTTTGTAGTAGACACTTCATTTTTCTAACATAAAGAAACTGTCTAGTGGTCACAATAATATTTTGTCACGCTATACTGGACACAAAATTAGTGCAAAAGTTGTGCACTATCAGTTAATTTTTTTAATTATACTTTCACTAAAATTTCGAAGTAATATGACTTACTAATATTTGTTGGCCAAAATCAACGGAACAATATATGAGAGAACGAGGAAACACAACCAACATATTTGATGAAGAAAGTATTTGAACTACAAACGAAGGAATTCTTCCGTGTCTTATTCTCTTTTACACCGTCGAATAGTACGTGATATATTAATGCACATTGAAAAAGAATTTGCTAATAATAATTACTTTCTTACTTTACAAAATACAGATTTTATTCTGGTTTGTTTTTCTTTTTACGCTTACATTATAATCGGAGTCTTTGGTAAGTTCATAATATCTAAAAATATATCGTGTGTCACAGCGGCCAACTGAATAATAGTTTTTACCAACTAATTCAATAGTGTTAGCTTCAGTTAAGAATGTTTATTGGTTTTAGATAAAAAAAAAAGAAACACATACAAGTTTTATTCAGAACGAGAATGAATTAATTTAACAACCTTTTTTTTAAACAAAAAGGCGCCTCTCTTTTTCTAACACTCTTCCATCCTTTAACTAAGATGGTGTTTATTATTTCGACGAGACGGCTTGTACCATTGTTGCATTGTTCTTGGATTAACATATGCCCGTTTTAACATATCACGATGTACTAAATCTAATTTAATTTGTCCTTTAACATTTTCGAGTTGACACGTTCCTAATGGACAAATTTTTCTAATTTTGTACGGTCTAATCCAATGAGAATGAAACTTCTTTCGGTTTTCATTATGTATTAATACCCAATCATTCTCGTATAGTTCATCAGCTTGGTTTTTTGAGTGGAGATTGTAATACTGTTTCATTTTATTAGCATTTGAATCTGAACGTTCATGTACAGTATCACGTTGTTGTAGTAGTTGATTAATTTGTTGTACACGATTAGTAACATTACTTTGTTCATCATCATTAATGATAGGAATTAATTCATCACCTGGTAATTTTGCTTCTACACCATACACCATATAAAAGGGTGTTTTACCTGTGGCATGATGTTGTCTTGTTCGACATGCAAATAATGCACGATCAACATATTCATCCCATTGATTGATAGCATTATCAGCTACGTATTTCGCGAGCATACTACCAAATAAACGATTAAACCGTTCAATAATACCATTAGACCTTGGATGATAAGCAGATGTTAATATATGTTTAATACCAATCAGTTTAAAATAGGAATTTAACATCGCTATTGTGAAATTATTTCCTCGGTCAGTAATTATTTCTGTTGGACAACCAAAATTTAAAACAATTTCTTGATAAACAAATTTAGCAACAACTTCATGTGTAGCATTTGGAACCACTCTAACTATCGACCATTTTGTTGTATGATCAAGTGCAATTAATATCCACTGGTTACCATTAGATGTTACTGGTAGTTGGCCAATAAAATCAAAACTCCAACGATGGAATGGAGGCACTGGAGTTAAAGGATGTAATGGTTCAGTTGTGGTTTTACCACATGTTGAAATTTGACAATTGACATATGTTTTAATCCATTGTTGAACATCAGCTTTCATTCCTGGGCACCATGCTTTTGTTTGTAACAATTCTTGAATGTCATCAGCTTCTATATGTCCATAGGCATTATGCATTTTGAGAACTAAATCTAAGCGTGATATAAATGGTATATATGGAGCTGTTTGTTCATCATTTAATTTTCGATGTAATAATTCATGTGATTCATCATAAGTAAACAGGTGCAATTCTTTTTTTAACTAATCCTTTAAATTCATTCCATGATGAACGTCGTTGATTTTTCAATTTCAAGTTAACAAACCACTGTAAAGCCGTACCACCTAATAAACTAAGAGTAAGTGATATTCGATCATCATCGTGGGTTAACTGATTGGCCATAATTTCTTCCAAAGCTATTAGCCAAGTAACAACATTTTCTTCATTGGTGCCATTGTACTCTTTGGGTTTGACATTTATTTTGTTGAATGATCGTGATAACGGATCAGTTAATGCTTCATCTGGTACAGTTGTTGACGAGTGTGTAGACAACTGTGATGAAATGAGTACTTGTTGTTCAGTAATTTGTTTACGCTGCTGGTGCATTTCTTCAATAACAATCATGTTCATTTGAATAACTCGTTCTAACAAATTTTCCAAATTGGCACCTTCAATGGGCATCGTGAATAAGGATAGTCGCTACTACCAAATGTTAGCTTCAGTTAAGAATGATTATTGGTTTTAAATAAAAAAAAGAAACACATACAAGTTTTATTCAGAACGAGAATGAATTAATTTAACAACCTTTTTTTTTAAACAAAAAGGCGCCTCTCTTTTTCTAACAATAGTAATCTTATTTTAGATTCATATTGTACTTTTCTTAATAACATCCTATTCATTTTTGATTCTCTACAGTATGAGAGTACAAAAAAATAATTCTTTATATTCATGTTGATAAATTGTATACACTTTTTACTGTCATATTCAAAATGAGAATCACAAGGAGAAGAAATAAAAAAAAACTTCATTAAACAAATTATATATAATTCGATATATATATGTATTCATTTAGTAAGCATATGATAAAGTCTAAAACAATTCTATCAAATATTGTTGGTTGTTAACGCATTATTAATTTTTGAGTAGATGATGAAAATAAGACTTTCGTATACATAATAAAAAATATCATGCAAAGTATCATGACCAATACAGCAAGAGAGAGTATAGCAATTAAAAGTTTGTCTTGTACTTTTTCCACATTTGTACGATCAGTTTTAGATAGATTATTTTGTACTGAATTACCAGCTAAACCAACGAGAACAATAGTAAATAAGAAAGCCAAAGTAACTGCCAATAATGCAGATGTAGCAGCAACACGTTTATTTTGTATAAATACTAAAAGAAAAATAAAACGATGAAGACTAAAAAAAAATGGAAAAAGATATTATTTAAATAGACATTTAAAAGTCAAAAATGCGATTTTCTTTACAATTAAAATTTGTTAGCAGAATCATTGTAAAATTAAAATATGAAACGAAATGGAGCTGCTATGGCTAATCAGAACGAAATTATTTTATTTCATCTATTGTGGGACATATTTGTTCAGCTTTCTTTTTCTTAATCTTCTAGAAATGGAATAAGGAAGTAGTTTCACAAGATACTATTGATTTGTAGTTTTTGATCGTATACTAACAACGTCGGTCACAGTCTGAAAGAAAGGCTAAATTTCTTTCTCTATACTTTGATAGTCTTTTTAGATCACAAAGTAATGAGCTTAAAAATTTTTCAATAATTATACTCTAGTATTAAATTTTCTACTTACTAATGGCAATAATAAAAATAGCAGCGAGAAATGATATAGATCCACTCCAAATACCGGCACCAACAGTTGCTGTTCCTAATCCTAATTTAGAAGTTCCATTTTGTTTGTTTCCTTCAATAGCTATATTAGCAATATCAAGACCAATAATAGTCGAACTGAAAATCACCATGGTAACAGATATAATTATTGATCCAATACTTGGCCATGAACTATACCAATTAACATTTAATAGAATTGGCTGAGTTGATACAGTTCCATAAGCAGGAATAGTATAAGGAGTTGTAGTATATATATAAGATAACGGTCGTTGATGTGCAGGCATAACTTTCAGTATTATGCACCTTCGACTACTTGTAATAAAGAGTGTTACTCTTCCATTTATAGAATAAATATCAAATGACATGCTACTCCTGCTACTAGTATATCAAATATTTAACATTGACAATAAATGAAAGTAAATACTGACCTTGTTATACACCTCAACAATTTTATTGTATTTTCAAATTGAATGAATATATCACTAAGATTCTAATTGTTAATCGATTGATATATTTTGAGATTATTTATCTAAAAATATCATTGAACTTATTTGTTGCAAATAGATTGTTGGATTTCTATAGGCATTATATATGTACTATTTGTCTTAGTGAATACTAATGACTATAGATATGAACAGAAGCAGTATTATACATGCCAATTTGATTTATCATCGCCCATATTATGATGAATTTTAGTTCTTAGGTTTAGTCTGACAATAAAAATTTGCATCAAGAATAAATTTACTAAGAAGAAATACTTCGATAAATACAGTTGAGCGAAAGTTTGTTACTATTTAAAAATGAAAAAAATTCTATTTGAAACGGTTACTTGTACTATTACAGGCTTGCTTTATATTACATGGAATGGTAGCATTTTGTGAATAATTACACATCAATGATTAGTTGAAATTTGGTTTTTATTAATTATATAATCTTTAACCGGTAATGAATATTTGAGAAATTAACAAATACTGATGACTAAAATCGATTATTTTTGTTTTTAATTTTGAGTTTTTATCAAATGTGTCATTTAAAAGTCCCCCTTCCATGAAAAAATGTCAATTTTTATCAAACAAATCGAAATTGACATCAACACGCAGGAAAAGATAGCACGACGTCCTATCTTAGATAAATAAAACAATTTTTTATTTGACATCCCGCTTTATCTAAACGTTTTCGAGGATTTTCGGTAACTTTTACTCGAAAAACATGTTTTTTTCAGAAAACACAAGAAATATTTTTCGTTTTTTCTCTGTTCACGTTTTTCTAAATACGCACGATTGAAATTTCAAAGGAGCTTCATTGTAGCCAATTGCTTTCTTTTTGCATGTGAGGCTGCAATGCTTGTTTTTCGAATTAAGTTTTTTTTATGATTCTATAAAAAGGCGCTTCTGTAAATAGATACCTATTTTTTGAGAGTTTTTAAAGGTATTGACTTTATCATCTTTTTTGAAGTAAAACAAGTAATAATGTAAGAAAAACAGCTCTTTCAACTAAAAAAATAAAATAAAATCTATAGAATGAGGATCTATAGAAAATTATTATCTGTCAAATGAGCTATTTTTGACTCTTGTTTGTTAAATATCTTGCTCGAACGTCAGGATATACGGCTGAAAATCTCAGCATTGCCTCTCCAACATAGTTTCGACATATCCTAAAAGTTTCATCTAATTTGAATGCACGTGGTTTGAGATCGATTTCTGAAGGAGAAAGGCTTGAATATATAGTGCCCTTAGCATCGTTGTCGTCAACATCAGCATTCCATAATTCTTCTTCTATTGATTTTCATCATTCTGTCATTACCTGGTCGTTTTTTTTTTGAAAAGTAATGGAGCTTCATTCTTCTATTAAACTTTATTCTTTGTCTTTGTTTGTCTTTTATTATTGAAAACACGAATAGCATTTACATCAATAGAACAAAAAAAAATCTCAAAAAGGACGAGTATTAGTTGATGATGTGCGAACACCATAAGCTCTTGGTGTCAATATTGGTGTATGTTGTTGCTTTTGTATATGATCTGTATTCACATTTAATAATTCTTGTTGTTTTATAATACATCGACATGCACAGTCTTTTTCTGGACAATATCGATGTTTACTTTCCGATGATGAAAACCATCCATGCATATGACTTAAATGTCCACCATGTGCACATATTGCACATAAAATATGTTGACCAATAACTGGTTGAAAACAAATTGAACAAATAATTGTCGATGATGTTTGATTTATTGATGCTGGTGATTGACAATTATAATCGATTTGATATAAAATTTGTGTTCGTTTATAAAAATGTTTCCAACAATGTAATAAATTTGCATATGCATATAAAATTGGATCATATAGATGTTGATTAAAAAGTTTTACTTGAGCTTTTGTTTTCATAAATGATGTATTTAACATTGTTAATAAAAACATACTTGCTGATTGAATATCACCATTACTAATATAATGTGAAACTAAATGTTTAATTAAGCCTAAAAGAAGAATTCACATACACATAAAAAAAAACATTCTATTTTGTTCTTTTTAGTGTCCTGCAGTCGGTTTGGGTTCAGGGTATGATCTCATACCAGGACTCAGCAACTAATGAGATCTCGATGTTTCAAAATATTTGAATTTTTTTAAACTGCTAATTTATTAAAAAGAATAGGAGTGAAAACTGGTTTCATCATGATTAAACAATTTATTATACTTGAGAACAGGTTACTAAAGTGAAAAGTGAAATTATTTTTACTGAAAAAGTTTGTTTTTGATGGAAATTCATTTATATACTATGATCAAAAAATATGACGAAGTAACTGAACACATAAAAAGGAAAGTGAATTATCAAGAGAGATGAACATGTATTATCATAACGAAAAAAAGCATTCATATACGCATCCACACTTACAACGTTTGGCACTAACACTATGTTAAAATCCAGCAACATCAACAACAAACAAATGTATACGCAGCGAAATTGATCGGATTTTAGAGGCAGAAAAACACTGAGTAAGTCTTGAATCACTTCCTTTTTTTCATGGAACTGGAAATGATCTCTCTTCTTTTTGTTACAGTCTATATAAGAAATTGAATAATATTATTTTCTATATAAAATCTGTAACTGTGAAACTTTCTGCCGGTTGTTAATTAGCATCGACCCGGGTCCGCTTGAGAAAAGTCTTACACATTGTAGAACACCAATTCTTTTATAAAGTTTTTTTTCTCTTTACCTTGAGCAATTGGTGTTTGAAACCAAGAATGATCATTTGGTAAACTTTGTTGTAAAGCTAATAAAGTAGCAAGTAAACGCCAACAATGAGTTAAATCATTTTTAGCCATTCGTTCTGTTAATTGTTGATTTAATTCACACATATCAAATAAATTGTTTAAATTAAATTTATAATCATCAGCTAATTTTTTACTTATTGGTAAAAGTATTGACATATCATATATTGATACTGTTGAATGAATTGGTGATAAATGATGACTAAGAGGACGACGATATGATGTTGCTGATGTTGACATACGTTGATGATCAGCAAGTATACTTGAACCTAATGATAAACGTACAGGAGCAGAAAATATCGTTGTTCGTTGATTATTTAAAACATGTTGAATTTGTACTGTATTTGTTAATGTTGTTGATGATCGATAACTTAAGGAGAAAAAGCATTAGAAAAAAACAAGAACAGAAAAAAATTTACCTTGATGAATGTTCATCAGTACTTGAATTTCCTCGACTTTTTGTTACTGTTAAACTCATTGATCGCATATGTACTGGATGTGGTCGATTAATGAATATATCATTGACACTATTAAGAATTGGTGGTGCAGAA